AGCTTGCTATTTCATGCCAATACAGAATAGCAACAAAAGATAGAAAAACAGTATTAGGTGCCCCTGAAGTCTTGCTGGGGATCTTACCAGGAGCAGGAGGCACACAAAGGCTGCCCAAAATGGTGAGTTTAAGACCCTCCTTGTACATTTTAAACTTAAGTATCTTATGCTGCTTTACTTCTATTTCCTCTTGTATGAAATGTGTAATAATGGCCAATCATGGGCAGTGCCTGTGGCTCAAAGGAGTAGGGCACTGGCCCCATATGCTGGAGGTGGTGGGTTCAAACCCAGCCTTGGCCAAAAACTGGAATAAATAAATAAATAATGGCCAGTCATTGTAGAATTTAGAAACCAAATATGAGTATGTAGGATTGGTAACAGATTTTTATTCATGGTATTTGTTTATTTTTTCAATCCCACAAAATTATTGATCAAGATTCTTCCCTGAAGAAGTATAAAGATAAATAAGATACACATCTTGTTTTCTGGAAATTATAGTTTAATTTATTCTTTCTCTGTGTAGTACCATCTTAAGTTTTTCAAAACCATGGAGCATGTTTGATTTGGATGATTTCTTTGCTGTGGTCTATGGAACTAAAAGAAGCCCAGCAGGCTTTGGAATTTTTAAGAAGAGGGGGAAGGACAGTCAGACCTGGAGGCTACAGAGCAATTTTAACATCAAACTTGCAACCAACTGAACCTCATAGCTTCTGGTACTACAGATTCCTCAATGAAACAAGGCCCAAAAGAAACTCTCTTTGCAGGGAAGTTGATATGAACTGAGTATAAAAAGAAGAAAAAATAATAAATTTAGGTATTAGTTGTCTGATAATAAATACAGGCATTCCCAGATTCACAAACATCCGACTTACATACAATTTATATGTACAAACAGAGGCCACTATGGGTAAAGGGTAAATGTATCTATTCCAACTTACATACAATTTCAATTTAAGAATAAACGTATAGATCCTATCTCTTTTGTAATCCAGGTTATCCAGGGACTGCCTGTAATGTCCTTCTTAGGAATGTCAAGAGGATTTATTGAAAGAATAAATAAGTATATATGTGTGTAGAAGATATTTATTGAGGTTTTTTTTCCTCCTTTTTTTAAACTATAGTTCTAGCAACTTTCAAATACTATAAACTATAGTTCATAATTTTAACAAAAAACTGTAGTTATAGTTAGTATTTGAATGTTGCTAGAAGCCATTTTTCTTTTTTTTTTTTTTTTT